AAAAATAAAAATTTATTAATAAAGAATTTTTTTTTAACAAGATTTAAAAAAAAAAAAATTTTTTACCAATATTTCTGTTTTGTAGTACCATGAACTGAAAATGACATATTAACAATAGCCATCGAAAATACTGGTACCCATAATTTATAATCATACTTTCCAAAATCAATATACACTTCTCTAGCCACTCTCAACCAGGTAGTGACTGATATAGCAGCAATCAAATATACAGTTAAACCTGCCGAAAAAACTAATAATGGACTAATTACTTCACAAGCCGGAGATTCTAGAGGCTCCCTATAGGCTGCACCATACCCCTTTATAATATTATTAATTTATAAATTATTTATTTATTTATTTATTTATTTATTTATTTATTTATTTATTTATTTATTTATATATTATACAAAGAAATAATAAATATACACTCACGTGATTTATTAAAGAAACTAATGATATGAGAATATCTAATATTAAATTTTAATTAGAGTTTATTAGATTTATTAGAATTAAAATTAATCCTTCAACTTGTTCAACTCTATAATTTACCTGTCAAAGCAATATAATATGGAAATCTAAGTGACATAGGAATTACTGAACGAGGTTTCCTCCATCTTAGATATGTACCTGAAACAAAATATTTTTCTCGTTAATAATCAATGTTTTTTAAAATCTTTGAAAACCAGAAATTTATCTTACGTAAAATAATGTATGCACATCCAATAAAATTACAGATAATGATAACCAATGAAACTAAAAGAACAGTGTAAATTAAATCTGGCGCATTATTATTATTATCGGTATTTGAATCAGTGTCGTTTGATGCTGATAAACTGCATGCAAATGGTATTTGCGTCAGAATTAAAAATATTTTATTGATATTTGAGGTTTTCAATAGCATTTTATGAATTTATTGGATTATTCATAATATTTTCGTTTTTGATATTTTATAAATGAACGTGAAGGATAATTTTCGCTGTGAGAAAAAAAACGAGCCATTTTTAATTTTTTTTTATTCACAATATTATGTAATCGAAATCGTTTTCTTCGTAATCTGAAGAATAGTTCAGCTCGCTAATGATAGTAAATAAAAAAAAATCAAAATAAAGATTGGTTTTAATTAAAAACTTACAAATCGACAAATATTTGTTATTTAGTACATACAATTATTTGTAATTATTATGTAATGAAATTTGTGTTTTCGTTGCTCTAACTAAAAAGGCAACTCTACTATCTCCACCAATTGTATTATAGTTGGACATGACCCAAAATATTATTTTAGAACCGGTTTTTTCAGTAGTGTAAAAACATTCATTTAACTTGCATGTGTGACGTAAATCCCATTACGCAATCGAACTCATTGAATCCATACCTAACGTTTGGTATTTATTATTATAGTAATAACAACCGGATTCAAACTGGATTTATTTCACCAAGTCTATTTATAACCACGAAATTTTTAAAAACAATAGTCCATTTCTTTATATCAAATTTTGAAATTTCGGTGCGAGGATTTAAATATAGCTCTTCAAATGATTACGACTAGCAGCATATCAATACAATCTAATTAATATAAAAATTGAATTACGGTTTCAAACTTTAACGGGATGCGGTGTTACCTTACATTTTCTGGAGATTTGTAAAATAGCTCTAGATTTTGTATATATATACTAGTATTCGAAAATAGCGTGCGGTTTGTAGATGCTAACCAAGTTTGGTAAATATTTGCTATATTATGCCCATAATTCCTAAATTTGGTTAAAACGACAATTCCGCATACTGAAAAAATGGGAAAACTTACTTTCCTTTATTTTGAATGGGTTGAAATGTGGTTATTTTATACCCCAAAAGGGAAGTAAGGATTTAATGTAACCGAGGCAGGTGTAAAACAAAATCTACTTGGTCTCAATTTTTTGTGTATAATAATAACAATAATTTGGAATTTTCAAAATGTCGATAAGTTTCGAACCTTGAGTCACAACAATAAAATTTATTGGTTAACTTTTTTAGAATGATATAAAAAATTTTTCGTTTTAGTATTTTGTGTGAAATTAGTTGATTATAGGGCTATACTGTCAATTTTTGAATATTAATACGGTAATATATTAATATAATGTTTTTCCAAAATTGTACTTTATGTTATTTTTATGTAATTAAAAATTTATTTATTTAATAAAAAAGAAATGGGGGTTCTCTAGAAAAAACCGGTCCCGAGGTCTTCTGGCCAAGTATTTAACATAACATTACCAATAACATATAGACTATCATTGTGAAAATATTAGACCTTGTTTGTTTAATTAAAAAAAAATAGGGAATTGTAGGCCGGATACCTTCTTTAGAATAATTTGCGCGAATATCTACATACTCCATTTTTGTTATGTGCAATAAAAATTTTCTTACATTAAAAATAATCATTAAATTATTAATTAACTAGGTTTTGGACAAAGAATATCAAAGGCTTGATAATTTTGAAGTCAAATCACCTATATTCTCGTTATTAAGCAAATCTTCAGGTGATTCAATATTTTTTTCCGAATTAAAAATAGTAACAAATTCTTGGGGTTCGAAACAATCAATTTTCGTGTAACAAATGTTTTTAGGTGTCATTTCAAAAAAAATTATGTTTCTCGGCTGGTTGTTTCTAGAGCCTCCCAAATGTTTCGATTGAATTATTAGAGGAGTCATATAATTTTGTTTTTTCAGTAAAATTTTGCCAATATTTAGATATGATTTTCATGTCTAGTCAGTTACATTAAAGCTAAAGGCATATTTACAGAGCCAGATTTTTAAAATATAAATTCTTGAACACTATACTTTTAAATTTTTAGACCGCGCAAAATTTCACTACTTGATTGGTTCGGTCTATTGCTGTACCATGCGCTCAAAATTTCAGCAATAAAATTTTTTAAAAAAGGGCTTCACATGATTTTGGTTAAAAGACGTATTCTATCAACTAATAGAGCTATTTTTTTAAAAGTAGGACAGAAAATGACTTCTATACTATTACTTTTTAAAATTTGCCCAAAATTTAGGAGGTCTTTAGATCGAGCCAACTATAATAATAAAAATTTTGACCAGACTCTTTAAAAATTATATATACAAATCTCTTTAATAAAACACTTTTAAAATTTGTTATTAGGAAAATCCGTGCCACTCTTCTAAGCATATAGTACTTTTTTCCGATTTTGCGATACTCTTCATGTTATCATAATTTGTAATCGTTAGTTTTCTCGGAATGCGTATAACTCTGGTCTATCCGTAAAAGGATTTTCGACCATGCTTATTCATTCCAAAAATTTCATTACAACGCAGCTATGGATAAGTTGCGCCACCAATAATGACAATCAATTTCGTATTTTTGGTCAGAATGTTCCAATGTAGATCTTCAATTGACATTGACAAAATGAATTTTCATTTGTGTGATATTGTAATTGAATTTCATTGGTTAGTTTCATTTGGAAATCACATCTAGAAATTTGTTGGAATGTTTTGATGGAAATCATTAGACGCAACACTGAATAAAGTGTGACGCGACACATTGATATAAATATTCTACCATTTACAAATTTAGATGTTGTAATTAAAAAAAAAATCTATTTAAAAGATATTACAAGATGCGTGCGTACATAACATTCAGAAATTTATCCAAAATTCAAAATTAAATTATAAAATATATAACATGAATATGAAATTTTATCTATAATTACTCAATTAGGTAAAAAAGAAATTCTAATTAATTCTTATATATCTTCTAATTAGTTGAATTATTTTAATTAATTCGATAAATTACTTTTATCATTTTTTTTTTTTAGCGCTAAATTTAGGTGCATTTGGCAATTTCTTTCAATACATAACTAATGAAGGATTATCATTAACCAATCATTCAAATATAAGTCATGGATCTAAGTCTTCCCGAGATGATGAAATTGAATTAAACGATAAAATCAATGATGTCTAGAATATAGAATATATAAATATAAAATACAATGTATAAACGTATATACAATATATATATGTTTTAAGGATTTTTTAATTATGAAATTATGTTACATGCTTGTAAGTTATAGATATAACAGATAAATATGTGTAATTTTTAATTTTAACTTTAATTTTTAAAATTTGTATTTTTCCGCAAAATTCGACAGCAACCGCAGCATATTTTAAAATTTCATTGGCTGCCGATCCAAAATTTACGGAAAAATACACCCTCAATATTAATATCATAAAAACTTTGTTATAAAGTAGATATACTACAAACTCGTGATGTATTTCACTAAATTTAGATGAAAATTCTTGTGATATTGTGTATTCTATACGTTATTTTACTTTCTATAAGTATAATACTAGCCTAATACCTAATCATCCAACATATTATTTCGTATATGTAAACTTTTGATCCTGTTTTTATTCATTTAGGAGAAATAAATTTTCCTTCGCAAAGAAATCCTCCGCTTCAAATGTTACTCCTACGGTAAACCGGTTCGAGTTAACAACTCAAATTTAAGTTGTAATTAAGGAATTGGAATTGAAACTCTACATGCCATGAATGAAATTCTGTTGTACATGACAAATAAGCTCAAAGATCAAGAGTTGTTTTTGCGACTTGGTTTTCTTCAGAGGGTTTTAAGTATGATAGTAAGCATATGAGTGCAAAAACTTTAGTCATCCAATAAAATCGAATACAGGTCGGTATGTGGCAAAATGGAGGCCAGTCCCTATATCGGAATCCAAAAATGTAACGTCTGGACGCATATTCATCAAGTATTCAAAAATCGCAACATTTAGGGGCACATATTCTTCCAAAAAATTGCAGGCATATGGTGTTCAAAACTTTATGGCACCAAAAATTGTGGCTAATAAGGCAAACTTTGGATCTCAAACAATTTATGACACCAATTATGAATTAAATATAATTGAGAATGAATGATGTTGTTGTAAAATTACCAAATTAAAAATGACCAATGCGAAAAAATCTTGACTAAAATCAAAATCAATATTCTTTACTCAAGTAAAAAAGTAAAAACTGACAAATCGTCTAATCGAAGTAAAATTACAATTATTTTTTTGCTTTTATTATTCCTAACTTTATTTAGATTGTTTTTAAATTTTGTCATTTTCAATTTCACTCCAGAACAAACATTATCAACTACTCCATTGTTTGCTAAATAATCAATATCACTACCTTTGCTTCCAGGACAAGCATTATCTTCATTTACTAATTCATTTTCTGTTAAATCATCAATAATATTTATTA